TTTTTTTAAAACGATGTGTAGTAACGCACTTGCGTACTTGCAAAGACAGCTTCGCGCCTGTAGAAAGAGGGGACATGGAGGTTCAGTGATCTGGGCCAGCTCACCACTGTGATGAAAAATAAAACATACACATATCTATCCTTCTTTTTTATAATTTTCATCGCTTCCAAACACTGAAAATAGTAGCATTATAGGGAAGAAATATTTATGCCATAATGCAAGGGGTCTGGTTTACACGAGAAATTAGTAACCAGAATTCCAGGACCAAGCATAATTTTTATTTCCTCATGATTTTTTTTCTTCAACAAAATAAAAGAAAAAAAATATTTCACATATTATTTCTGATGATTATGGAAAGCATCGGCCTACCAAGCATTCAACATGTCGAAAAAGATTGTTACTGTCTTTGTATGATTTTTCCCGCGAAACGTCATATTTCTTTCAACCAATGAAATTTAAGTAGAGGGAATTCTCATTTACATAACAACATCAACTTCCGGCCTCCCTTTTCTAAGTTTTACGGAATCGGTAGCAGTAGACTGAGTTTGAAGCGACATTTTAAGAATTAGAGAGGATTTAATGTGATTTGAGTTGAATTGCCCAAAAGTGGAGGCATAGTTAAAGTAAGTACTTGACGGAAACGGTTGCATCCGTTAATTTTAAACACGTTGTAGACTAAAAATCGAGGCGAAGTAGCTGAACTGAAAAATTCAAGATGGCGACCGTGACGAACCTTGTTATTATTATAGTATGGTGGATTTTTTATTTATGGAAAGAAAGGTTAAAAACGTCAAGCGCCTGTGGGGTTTATCTACTGTGCACATCTGCTTAAAGTTGGATGACACCATAGCTATTGATAGAACGATCTTATATTTATAGAATGTTGTTTACTTAGTTGGATGACACCATAGCTATTGATAGAATGATCTTTTATTTATAGAATGGTTATTTGCATTTACTTGTATTTGCTCGAGACTAAGGATTCAAGATATATCACGAATGGAGGTATCGTCATTTAGAAAAAAAAAAAAACATTCGCTGATTGGTCGAAATATTGATTGACTATATACACAACTGCGCCCATCAGCTGTAATTTTTGTTAAGATTTTATGCTCGTTTTAACCCTGTATTCAATTTTAGTTTTGGCTAGTTTTCTTATTTCCCAGCTACGACCTTGTCTACAATACTAGGAAATCATTAGAATTCGTGGTGGGACAATATTCTGGAATTATTCGGACCCTGCATCCATGATTTCTCACCCTCAATGAATTAATAAACTTGATTTTAACAGTAATATTTCCTTTTGTAAATCTGAGTGAATGCACGAAATTACGCCCCCTCGAACCTGTAAAATTGAAGCAATCCATGAAAATTGCCCCCAGGAATTTTTTCTTATTCTACAGTATTTGGCCAAGATATACATATATGTAATAAGGAATCTTTATTGGGGATATAAATCTGCACCAATCTTAACAAATACCTGCTTGTTAATTATTCTGTAAATACTTTTATTATTCAAACACCTTTTTTTTTTTATTTCTGACGATGACGCAATCTGTGTGTATGTGGTAAGATTCGAGATCACGTGTCCTAAACAATCCCGAAGTTTGAAATTCTATGGTTATTTTAATGTCCTTGTTAGCAAATACATTCTATCATTAAGTCGTATTTTGGCTGACGTGTTTCATTCTAAATGTTAGACCTTCATTTTATACTTAATTTGGCTATGGAGTTTTCCATCTACCTGATCAATACATAGGGCTCACGGCGGGTGTGACCGGTTGACAGGGGATGCTTACGCCGCCTAGACACCTGATCCAAACTCTGGAATTATAAGGGCCCACAGTGTCATCTTTTGTGGCATAACAAACAAAAGAACAGTAAGTGCAGAAAGAACAGTAAGTATATACATGCAGGGTTCTCCATGAGCTGTTTTACTGTGTGGGCCCCGATCAGTAACGATTCAGATTTTATGCGTGCGACACAGTAAAATACCGGTAATTGCGACACAGTAAGATCTTTGATAATCCGAAAATCAGAACATAAACTCTCTCTAAAATCTCAAACAAATCTACCGTCTTTCATTTTTTTAAAACATCTCTTAATTAAGGCAAATTGTCTTGCTTCACCTTGCATTATCAATTATCTCCTAAACCCTCGCTGGACTTTACGCATGAAGGAAGGACTAATAATTTGTTTTCACACTTCCATATAACCGTATAATGGCTAGTTGGATTTTTTTAAAAACTAATTAAATATATGACTTTACTTCAGAACCACGTCTCTAGAATTATGTTGGCACTGTGAGTGAAACATCGTGCCGTAATCATTTACTTGATCAATGTAAATGTTTGTTGAAGAATTTAAATGCACCCCCTTAAAGTATTTTACTATTCTGAAGTTTATTTTTTAAATTCAAATACTACATGTAAGCAGTAGTTCGATCAAGTGACAAAAATCACGGCAAAGAGCTATGTTCACTTTATGCATAAAATGGCCCTGTAGATATACCAATTTATTGACTAATACCCCGTGTATCGTTTTCAACATAAATATAAAGTAGAGACTTAGTGCTTTCAGTTTATATAACAGAATTTCCTTTGAAGAGTCCATGCATTGAAAAACAGGTTGTGTGAATTTGCAATGTCATTGAATTTTGCAGGAAAAACAGGTGTTTTTGAAAACCTTCAGCAAAGAATTAAAATATGAGCACACCCCTCGATCCAAGAATTAATATATGTTTTATAATCTTCATTAAAAGTTCTTTTCTAATATATTTACACATTTTGGATCGGAGGTTGTGCTGTATACGAAATATTGAAAAATGGCATCATATTTTGTCCATTTTTGAAGAAATATTCAGGATATGTGAATAATGACGCAATTCATGACGTCATAATGCATTGACTAGAAAGAAAATTACGTCATTTTCAGTAGATATTCATTCACCAAGTGCTCAAGCATTTATTTATTGTCTTGCTAACTAAAACTAAACAGTTTTGAATTTTCAGAAATTCACAGGGCCAAAAAAGACCCTAAGTGGCTCTTGCTCTTTACTTTAAAAGATGAATAAGTAGTTTGATTTTAGCGACCAGAATTTCCTCTGCTCTTTAGTGCATGTGTAAAATATAAAGTTATAAAAAAAAAATGTACACGTACAATAATATACACGTACAACTTGTAGATAGTGATACAAGTATAAAATATAAGTTTTTTTTAATCGTAGTTATTTTTCTAAGTTGTTTGTGGGGGGGGGGGATTTCCAGTTGGTTTGTGTTATAGTAAAAACATTATTATATATTGTCTTCAATATCCATTAATTTTTTTTTTTTATTAATTTGTACGACATTAATACCACTTGTGTAACGAATTAGTTGTTCAAAAAGTTTGTGTGTGTATGCTTTTGTAATGATAATAAATAGTGGTTCAGTAAGGAATTTGATCGCAAAAATACCACGAATGTTAGCGCTTCGCGTTAAGTCTGCAACACAGTAAAATTTCAAATGATGGAGAACCCTGTACATGTGATTTTATATTCCTATGAAAAAGTTCTATACAGTAAATTGTGATTCTTTATTATATAGAATATTTTATATTTAATATTTTATTTGTATTAATATTAGTGATTACTTGAAAAAAAGCAAATTTCAATTTAAATAATACATAAGCAAACAATTATGAATTAAAAGCAAGTTTGAGTCTAAAGATTATGTACATGTGCAGTCGAAATCACAACACAACCCTAAATTGTTTAACACAAAAATCTCATTCTAGATCGCCATTTTTTTTAAATGGTAAAAGAAAATACCAAGGACAATTGCATAAAAAATGACATTTGTGGAACATGCACCATATTTTGATGTGCAAATATATGTATATGTATAACTCTATCAAACAACTGCTATAAAGGCAAACGCAAAAAAAAAGTTTTACCGTAATTTATGTTTATGAACCAAACGTAAACATTTTCACAACGGTAAACCTTTATGCTACAGTAAATGCTCAAAAAGTTTGTTTTTTTTTTTTGTTTTTATTTTTCAAAGTAAAGTTTACATGATGCTGTTGTTTTTAATGTTTTATAAATTCTTATTGCGATCAATTTAGAAATTAAGAGCTATTTGGCGGTAGAAAATAGATAGTACATATACTATACAGTTAAAGTATATCATTGAGGGGGTTAGCAAGATTCCAGTTCTCCAAGGCCAGGACTATTTTGAAGCCGAGAGAAATAGTCCTGGTTGAGGGGAACTGGAATCTTGCTAACTCCCGCAATGATATACTTTTAACTGTTTTATTATACCGACACAAACATAAAATTTAGAGGATTACGATAGCGTGATTTCAAAGCAAAGATTAGCTCACTGAACTAACAAACAGGGATTAGTCCATTCACATAACAGACCAATGTCAAAGTAAAATCTAGAGGATTACGGATAACTGGGAATTAGCTTTCGAAGCAGGGATTAGCTCATTTGACTAATGCACAGGGATTAGTCCATTCATAACGATTTCTAGGGAATAAGTCACATCTAACGATCTAACATCTAACGTTATATAGGGAAAATATCAGTAGAGGTATAATAATCTTACCTAAACAATACAGAGATTACAACATTACATTACAATATGTTATTTGTCTTATATATGCATACATAGAAGCTGTGGCACCCATTATCATAAAAATATTTCAAAACTCGTTCAGATGAAAGGATCTCATACTGAATCAAGATTTGTTGCAATGAATTTTGGTTACCATGGCAAAATATCTTAAAATTGGTAAAAAAAATAATAAATATTTTCAACAATATAATAAAGTTTAGTAAAGATGAAATAAATGAAGATCTACATTAAGTATATTTTACTATGTTTCTATTTTATATTCTTTCTTTTTCCCTTTTTCCAAGGGAAATAACGTTTTATGTATAGAATCACAAACCTATTTCAACATATTTTAAAAGTATTGCAGCTCAGAAAAGAACTTTCTAATTGTCTCTTGAAGACTAAGTGGACTCTCTCTTCAACAAACACATACGTATTTTATTTGTATCAATTTTGTGATCGTTTGGCCCTATAAAATGTTTTGGACAAGACATCTCCTGGAAATTTCCAATTTCTTTGACAATTTCAGACTCTTTCAAAAAGAATTTTTCATCCTCATCTGTGATTTTTATGTCTCTACATGAAAAACCCATATCATATATGATTCCCCTGTGGAAGGTTTCTGTTATTTCCTTGATCAAATCCTCTACTGCTTTTCTAATCTTCTTGACGCATTCTTCTTTCACTGTTCCGTCACGTCTTAAAACTTGCAGTTGGATAGACGTTTTGCTGACGGCGATGACAAAATAATGACCAGCATCTTTTGTCTTGTAAAATGCAGCATTTTTGAAAAAAGAATCTCCATCGCAAACTTTCCATTTCTTTAAACAGTTTACCACTAATCGGAAGAAGAAAAAATGGGGTAAATAAGATTTGAAAAAGTACACCATCAGGGATGATTTTTGTTTTTGTTTGATTGCATCTTTTTTGTCATCAGGAAGGTCGGTTCGGTTCATACTTGGAATGTAATACATCTCCTCATCATTACCTACATCGTATTTTGTTTTTGTTTGAATTTTTGTTATCAAACCAAGTTTGTCCATATATTGTAATATGTCAGTTTTGTGTTTTTTATAAGATAGCCATACGAAATCATGATTTTTATCATTTTCACCATTGACGTTCTTATCAAAATGTTTTACATCATGATTGTCTCTTGATCGTTTCCATACTTCTTCCACGTACTGTCCAGTAATTTTCCCGGTATTTACTAGTGGGTTCTTGTTGTCTATCCGACCAAAATGCCTTTTGTCAGTTATGATGTACTTGAATGCATCAACAAACCACTGAACATCAATGATAATCGTATCCTTGAGTTTATCTACAGAAAAGTATATGATTTTTCCTATTTCATGTAAGAAACGGAGAACATCATTGAGATCACCTTCGTCAATAGAAACAGTTTTTACCATTTCTTTCAATTGTGACCTCTTTAAGACTTTTTCCCCATTTGCTTTCTCATCATTAAGAATTTTCTCAAGTTCAAACCATTTCAAAGGAACTTCTTCTCCCCACTGTGGTAGCTTTTGTACAGTTTCCACGATACATTTCTTAACAAAGTTAATTGATTTTTGCTGCTTTTGAGTCAATGCTCCTGGTGGACATTCTACTTCAAAATATTGGAATGGTGATATAAGCCTTTTCAAGGTTTGTTCTTTAGATAAACACGCTTCCAATTCGCTATAAAATGTGTCCGACGTGTTAAAAGTACTGCCCTATTTAATAACAAGGAAAAGAATTAAAGTTATAAAAAATAAACTTTACAATATTAACTTGCGAGATTAATTCCTGCTTTGTTATTGAAACATTTAAAAAAAAAAAAAAAAAAAAAAAAATCCAAAAAGGATAATCCTCCACATTACATGTGGCTATCTGAGAAATATATGAACGATCAGCATCCTTGACCTTGTAGAGATGGCCTTAATTAGAATCTGTTTATAAACATGATATGTTTTTTGGTGGTGAACAGAAAGGCCGACAGAAATATGCAGACACAACAGATGAATTGATGTGACGTTTCAAAGTGATTTGAGAGGGGGGGGGAGGGTATTTCATTTCTTTAAAAATCATTCTGATTCCACACACAAATGCTCCGAAGCTACTCCTTACAGAAGTATCATGGGTAACAATGCGTACTCGATTCACTTTGGTCCTGCTGTTCTTCATCATCATTTTTTTTTTATTTTTATCCTTTAATTTCATAATAAAATACCCCATAGCATGGACCAAAGTATAGCCGTGAAGGAGCTATGATTTTATCAAATAGAAACTATACAACATTGCCTTGTTTCAGAATAAATATGATCAATAAAACCCCGTTGTTCTAGAGAAGATATTTTCCTTTACATGTTTTATATACAATTTGAATCTCCTTTCTCCAAGGATCATAAAGTAGTGTAAAAATCCACACTTCTAAGGTATGCTTGCTTATTGCCTAAGATAATAACCTCTCTCTTTCTTCAAAATCATTAAAATGTTGAATTAAGGTCATTTTCTGACGATGCGTCTATTTTACGACGTAACAACTTAAGAAAATGTTTACTGATTTAAAGTTTGCATAATCCTGGCTTAAAATAAACTTTCAGGTTCCCTTATTTAAGTTTGATTTTGAAATATTTTCAATTACTAAATGTGGTCTTTTGAATCAATACAATTTAAGGATGCTTTCCTCTCTTAAGAAGACGATTTTAAAGATTTATCTCCTTTATATTCCTATAATTTCTGATCATCTACTGTAGTTTTACCTTACTCCAAGGGATAATGATCGGATGGTTATATAAATATGAGTTAACGTAGCTTGTCTGATTATCGGGTGTTTTCAAGCAGTTTCCCCATTATTTCCGTATGTTCATTTTTAAAACATTTCTCACCTATTATGGCCCACCCTATCCCCGAGAATCATGATCCAAACTCTGTCGGAAAGTACATGTATTAACATTGCTTTCATTTTTTCATTGAAAATATCCATGAAGTTTTCAATTGCAAACACTCTGAGAGAATGTCAATATGAAACGGAATGATTTCAAAATCCCCACAGAGTCTGACAAATCTTTTCTGTACTTGGATGCTTTGAAAGAGAAATGCATTTATGGCAGACTAACAGGTAAACTTTAAAAACCTGAGGAATACGTAGCAATATACAATTATTTTCTGCATCTTATTTAAGTCTTGTAATCGAACTGATACTCAAGAGCATGATCAAGTTAGTACGGTGTAGTAAATCTTCATATCTTTTTACATGTATTAATGTAATAACAAACATTTTTTTTCTGAGTTTCCAATAATTCGTTTTCCCCTTAGGGTTATTTTGTACGAAAGCCGGATAGGCTCAATTTTGACAAGATAAAAAAAAAAAAATTAACTCGTTATAACGAGATAGTTATCTCGTTATAACGAGTTAAGATCTCGTTATAACAAGATAATTATCTCGTTATAACGAGTTAATTATCTCGTTATAACGAGTTAGTTATTTCGTTATAACGAGTTAGTTATCTCGTTATAACGAGTTAGTTATCTCGATATAACGAGTTAGTTATCTCGTTATAACGAGTTAGTTATCTCTTTATAACGAGTTAGTTATCTCGTTATAACGAGATAACTAACTCGTTATAACGAGAAAGTTTTCTGAATGAAAATGGCTGTAGTTTTTAATGCCATTGAATTGAATTTTTAGCTAGTAATTATCAGTCAAATTTAACTTGAACAACTTATAAATGGTAGAAAATTTAATTTGCTCTGGGGTTTTCTTATAATTAAATCTTGAACTCTCTCGCTGTCAATGATCATATTTTGATAAGTATAGCAACTCTAAGGCGAACACATTTACACATTAATTCTGAACGCCTCCTCAAATTGTTCAATGGGACGCGATATTTTTCTTAAAATAATATTGCCAAATATACTTGCTTCAAACTTTGGCAATTTATTTAAGACAACCATTTCTGATGAATGACACTATTTCGACATGTTTTGGACGACTTATACACTTTCATATATCAATTTCTATTCCGCTAAAATTAAATATCAGAGACAATATAAGTGCAACATATCGCAGGCGTTTATGCAACATATATATACGATTACAGTGCGATACATATGTTGTTTTTGAGATTCAGAAATGTTTTGAAGAAGGGGTATGGTGAGACATCAGCAGTTAAATCATAGGCGTAGTAATAGGGGGGCTTATGCCCCCCCCCCCCACCACTTTTGAAGAGGGGGCGGTCAAGAGTATTTTTGTGCTCCTTCCTTCAGAATTTTTTTACCTGAGTAAATATCTCCCGAAAATAATGACGAATACTCGTAGTTGGAATATCAAATCTCTTTTTTTTCTTTTTGCTTGTCAAATATTTTACTTGGTTTACCCCCCCCCCCCCTCCGAACTTTGTGACTAAGCTTATGCAGCTTGTCCACGATGATGAGGAATGATGAAGCAAAAATGATATTACGTCCTTTTAAGTAATAAGACGTTAAATCTGATCTGCTGATATTGACATTTTATCTAATATTCTGTCATGATTCACTGTTTATATTTTTTGCGGGGGGGGGGGGGGGGTTCCAAGCTGTGGAGATTCACGTAGACCTATTTGAGATTCAGGTTTATTTGGCGGATCCTATGTTTACCACATGGTGACAAAACATCAAACCAGAGTTTACAACAAAAAAAAAGTTTACAGAGTTTACAAAGCCAGTTCACTTTTGTAATCTTTTTAATTAGGATTGATTAACGAATAGGACTAATACTATAAATGTATATTATTAATAAAACATTGAAGTAATGTCGTTAATTATTTTCCTCATCACAATATCACAATATTTATTATGTATACTTTGCATGCAAGCATATAATTTTTTTTTTCAAAAAGAGATTGATGATTTTTTTTTTTTTTTGGGGGGGGGGTATAAATAGAGGATATTCAATGTTTTGTAGTTGATACTGAATTTATTTCAAGAGTGGGACAGGATTTTTTTTTTATATTTTCACGAGTGAAAATATCAAAAATCCTGTCTCACGATACAATACATATTTCTAGGCATAATTTATGCTTGAAATACACCTTAATTAATGCGTATCATATTATAAACTTTAGATATTAAACTTTCATTCTATCACAAACATGTCATCTGTTTTTACTATTGTCAAAGTGAGGCATGTGAATTTCCTACATGCACTACATTTCGGCCTGATGACCTTCATCTTTTTATTGTGGCTTCCGTAGAACAAAAAGTTTTTTTATTCTACCACATTGATATTAATGATATTAATGACATTAAAATGCATATTGTACATGAGATTTCATGCCAAATTGGTAAATTAAAATGTTTCTTTCTTTTAATAAACAAAAGAAATATATAAATTATTAAGTGATAAGTGCAGTATAAGTTCTTGAAATTCATCAAATTTATTATTGCGGGGAAGGAGGGATAGATGATAAAAACAACGTGAATTTATTTTTTTGTCAGACATTGAATTTTGATCTTGCCCTGCCCCTTTAAGACGATAAAAATGAACTGGTATTTCTTAATTGTTAACAGGCAAGGAATTTTCAAAATATGGACGTTAAAGCCTAACAAATGGTATCATATCGACATTAGTAATTCGGAATATATAAAATAATGGGATTATTTCTATGCATTTTTTATTGCGACAAATATTACGCAAAATTGTCATAAATTTAACATAGTCAAGAAAGCTTGAACAGGCCAGTTAGATCAGCCAGAATATATCATTTTTTTCTGATCTCCTTGTACAAGTTGACAACTTTTGACGTTATATCCATTCCATTTGAAGATGACACTAATTCTATTTTGCAATTTTAAGGTATAACACAACAACATGAGGCGGTCATTAGTTTCCGTATATTTTTCTTTGGTCTTTTCAATGAACAATACTAATCAAAAGCATACCACAAAAACTAGTATACTGTTGTTCCGTAAAATATTTATCAGGCACACTTCAAACAAATTTGATCGACTCGCTTGTTTATTTTCTATAAATAATAGTACATGTATATTCTTTACTTAGATATATCAACTCTTTAGATCAATTTTTATCTCGAGATAACTAACTCGTTATAACGAGATAACTAACTCGTTATAACGAGATAACTAACTCGTTATAACGGTATAACTAACTCGTTATGACGAGATAACTAACTCGTTATAACGAGATAACTAACTCGTTATAACGAGATAATTATCTCGTTATAACGAGATACGTAACTCGTTATAACGAGATACGTAACTCGTTATAACGAGATACTAACTCGTTATAACGAGATAACTATCTCGTTATAACGAGATAACTAACTCGTCATAACAAGATACTATCTCGTTATAACGAGATAACTAACTCGTTATAACGAGATACTAAGTCGTTATAACGAGATACTAAGTCGTTATTACGATTAATTATCTCGTTATAACGAGTTAAATATTTTTTTTGTCTTGTCAAAAATGAGCCTATCCGGCTTTCGTTATTTTGGAGGATACAAAATAGAAAAAAAAATGTTACAAAATGAGCTATGTTTGCATTTGCGCTATTGGAGCGTTAAAGAGTACTGAAGCAAATTTTATCAATAATCGTCGTGAGCAAGCTAAATTGTAATTGTTTGTCTGGACGGAATTTTTTGATTATTTTTTTTGTATGAGAGATTCAATCAATCGATAACGTTGATAAAATAATAGTTCGAGAAATGAATTCGTGAATTCAGACGAA